CGTTCCCCTGCCCGTAACATCAGCTCCCCTCCCCCATCACCAACCCCCACCCCGTCCCTAACAGCAGCCATTCCCCACTCTTCGGCCCACACCAACCCAGTACATACGCCCGTCCCTCCACCCCACATAACCCATCCTATGATCACCCGTTCTAAGCGTGGTATTTTCAAACCAAAAATTTATGCCCTTACCCCTTCCTCTTCCTCCTCCCCTCCTGACACTGAACCGGCCACTTATAAGGAGGCTTCCCAAAATGAATATTGGTGTCGTGCTATGGATGAGGAATATGCAACTCTACTTAAACAGAACACCTGGGTTCTTGTTCCCAGACCTAAGGGTCGATCTCCGATCGGGTGTGAGTGGGTATACAAAATTAAGTGCAATGCTGATGGGTCAGTCTCCCGCTATAAAGCACGTCTGGTTACCAAGGGTTATTCTCAGGAGTATGGTTTGGATTACTCCTAAACCTTTAGCCCGGTTGTCAAACAACAAACGATTTGTCTTGTTTTTGCTCTTGCACTTTCTTATGGGTGGCCTCTACAACAACTGGATGTCTCCAATGCCTTTTTACATGGTGAGGTTGATGAAGATCTTTATATGGTTCAACCACCGGGCTATGTTGATCCACACTCTCCTGGATGTAACCACAATGCCTTTAAATATACCACATAGATTTAATTTGCATTTCCTAGGCCCATATTTTGAATGTTGAAAATTATTTTCTTCCTCATTTAGATAATAAAATTGAAATTAACATTACAAGTTCTATGTTGGGGGTAGTAATAGAAACTTTGGTAAACATATCTACTATTAGAGTACAAACAATTGTATGTACTATTTTTGTCTCAGTGTATTTAGCCAATTTGACTATTTCAGTTCAAATTAGACAAAATTTGAGTTTTAATTACTCTCAACTTGTATTGCATATTAATATAATGAAATAAAATTTTAAAAACTTTCAACAACATAAATCTTATAAAGCCATTTTTATACAATTATACATTACATTTTTATTTAATTGAAATTGAAACTTTATCCAATTTCAAAGAGACAATAGTCTTTTTCATATTTTCTCTCATTTAGAGTAATATTTCATTTTATTTGGTATTAAAGAGATATCCACAAAAACTTATTTACAAGTAACAAATATGTGCACAATTACTCAGCCCGTGCGAAGCACGGGGTAGAACACTAGTATACTCCCTCCGTCCAACAATAAAATTCTCGTTCACTATTCATAGGGTCAAACTTTATTCACTTTGTTGGCCTATTTTTGTGTCTTGTTTGATAAAATAATATAGTCATATCACCTCTAGTTTTGTAGATCTTTTCATGTAGTTTTTAAATATGTAATTTTTATTTTTTAATTCCATACCATTTTTCATATTAAATGATTTGAAAATACTTTCAGTCAAACATCGTAACGCGCAATGGGAACTTTATTTGTGGAGGGAGGGAGTATATGGCTTCGTTTGGTAACAGCGTTTTTGATTAGCGTTAGCGTTTTGGATAAAATTTTAATGGTGTAGATTAAATCTAAAAACGCTAAAGGCTACCGTCGGATAGCTTTTTGAAAACGCTAACGCTAATCTGTAACGCTCATGCCAAACTGCGCCTATTTCAAAGTTTGGTAAAATATGATTAGAAATGTAGAAACATATACTCCCTCCGTCCCAAAAAAATCTTCATGTTTTATTTTTTGTGCATCCTATAAAACACTTCTATACGCATCTAAAATGCCTAAAATTTACTACAATTCTCATTTATTCTAAGTAGAAGTTGTTTTGAAAGGTTTTTTTTTTGCATTTGCAAAAAATGAAACAGGAAAATCTTTTTGGGACGGAGGGAGTATATAATT